CTTGCCAAAGAGCACATCGCTCGCCTGGAAAGCCGCCGCCGAAAACAGAACCAGCGATGTAAAGGGCGCCGGCGGGCCAACGCCACGGACGACGATCGTGCCACGGAGGCCAAGAGCAAGCGCGAGGCCCGGCGACCGACTCTCGTTTGCCGGGGACGTATCCACGATCGGCGGCGTGTCGGGCGAGAAGAAGCGGGAAACGGGCGCGTGCACGTTGCGGCAGTGTATCGAGTACAGCTCCGCAAGTCTCCCCTCTTCACGAGAGTGGAAAGGCTGAACGTTTTAGAGCGCAGCTCTTAGGGGCCCGTTTCCGGCTTGAGCGGCGTCGGCGTCGCCGTCGGCGTCGGCGTAACCGCGCGGTGCATCATGGGAAATGTCCCATAATGCACCGCGCGAGCCCCCCACCGGGGTCACGTGACCTCGTGGGGGGCACGTGACCCCTCCGAGGTCACGTGACCCCGGTGCATCACGGGAAATGTCCCATAATGCACCGCGCGAGCCCCCCACCGGGGTCACGTGACCTCGTGGGCGGCACGTGACCCCCCCGAGGTCACGTGACTCCCCTGAGGTCACGTGACCCCCGCCGATGTCGCGTGACCCCCAATGACGTCATCGTCACTGATGACGTCACCGGCATCCACATCGCCATCATCACTGATGACGTCACCGGCATCCACATCGTCATCGTCATCATCACTGATGACGTCACCGGCATCCACATCGTCATCGTCATCATCACTGATGACGTCACCGGCATCCGCATCGTCATCATCACTGATGACGTTACCGACATCCGCATCGTCATCGTCATCATCACGGATGACGTCATCAGTGACGTCACTGATGTCGTCACCGGCATCCACATCGTCATCGTCACTGATGACGTCACCGGCATCCGCATCGTCATCGTCACTGATGACGTCACCGGCATCCGCATCGTCATCATCACTGATGACGTTACCGACATCCGCATCGTCATCGTCATCATCACTGATGACGTCATCAGCGACGTCACTGATGACGTCACCGACATTCGCATCGTCATCATCACTGGTGAAGTCATCAGTGACGTCACTAATGACGTCATCGGTACCCGCATCGTCATCGTCACTGATGACGTCATCAGTGACGTCAGTGATGACATCATCGGCATTGGGGGTGATGTGACCCCCAAGGTCACGTGACCCCCTAAGGTCACGTGACCCCCCCCTGGTTAGTTTAACCCCCCCCAGTGCCCTTCCCTCCTCCTCCTCAAGAGCTGCGCTCTAATTCGGCGTTACAGGGAGTTGTAAGCAGCTTTCACTTTTTTTTTCTGAAAAAATCGTAAGGGTGCAGGCGAGCTGGTGAATATTAACCATGTAGAATTAACCTGAGACTGTATTGTATTGTATTTTTATTGCACTTTTATTGTACAGTGCCGCCTGGTGTGCAGGTATTCAGGGAAAGGCAGTGTGCCCATACACGTTTAGCGATAGACAGGACGACGTCTCAATGGTAGACAAGAAACATCAAAACGTAGAAGGGACAGAAAATAGACAGGACGACGTCTCAATGGTAAAGAAACATCAAAACGTAGAAGGGACAGAAAATAGACAGGACGACGTCTCAAGTCTAGAGAAGAAACATCAAAACGTAGAAGGGACAGAAAATAGTCTCAAAGAGACGTCGTCCTGTCTATTTTCTGTCCCTTCTACGCAGTCTTGGGTAAGTTACTTTTAAAAAGTAATTCGTTACAGTTACAGTTACTTTCTGAAAAAAAGTAGCGAAGTTACCGTTACAGTTACCGCAATAAAAAAGTAACTCGTTACAGTTACAGTTACTTTTAAAAAGTAACGACGTTACTTTTCAGTTACTTTTTTATAACAAAAAATTAGGAAAAACTACAAAACGCTTTTCACCAAGTTTATTCGCATGAAATTAAAAAGTGTGCTTTTTACTTCATATTGTAACTTACCAGCAGTTGCTTCTCGAAATTAGTGTCTGAAAGATTCCCTTGTTTGATAACGAACAGGGTTCGTATAACGCGCTGGATGGGATTGCTGTGTTGTTTCGCCGGAACAGGTTTTTGGTTACCGACTAGGCGTTGAGGCAACAGAGTGCCTTTTTCTGCGGTCACGTTGTTGGTAACCGCCTCCACCACAGCAAAATACTCTCTGTACGCCGGCCATGGTAGTTCTTTGTTCTTATCAACATCCCTATCCTTGGTAGCACTAGCACATTGCTGGCTCGTTGACGGTTGCGCTGGGTTCATAGAGTCCCTGGACATATTTCAGTTCGTACCCGGCAAGCCAGAAACAAACCCCGCGCAAACAGCAAAAAATTTTGCCTCGACTGTTGATACTACACCGGAGTAGTGGCGCAAATCAAAATATGAAACATGCGTAGTGCGGAGTGGCGGCGCTAATCAAAATACGAAACATTCGCACTGCATTCCGCGTGTATTGTTCTTTCACGTTTGATTCGCCCGATTAAAAAGCGTTCGCGCAGAAAAAAGAAAAACCGCAAAAGAGATAGTTCTTCAAGATACCAAGATGTAAGTGTTCACACACAAAGTATACGCGCGTGCTAAAGATAACTACATTGTTTTTTAACCAAATCTACACGTGGCTATATTCGGGTCGTGACTGGCGAGAAAGAGCGTACTCACAAGTTTGTGTAAAAAATAACTTGACACTCGAAATGTCGGAACAGACAATTTCCAAAGCAAAAAGAATGTCTAAATTGTACCCTCGTACAGTGATATATTATTCATAATATCTTTATTCAACCCTGGAGGGTTGCGGCACCACAGAAAGGCCATTGGCCCATACCTGAGGCCTGTGGTGCCGCACTACTACATATTGTGAAAAAAGAAACAAATAAATAAATAAATATGACAATAAAGCATTCAACGTTTTTTCCATGGAAGATCACTGCTGAAGGAAGTCCGATGCCTCCTTGCACCAGTCTTTAAGGTCATCCTTCTCCTGGGGTGGACAGTCGGTCAGCGTCTTTGGCAGCGAGCGCCAGAGGGTTACACACTTCACCAAGACAGAGTTCTGGTGACGCACAGTGCGACCGAACAGTGGCTGTAGCCCACCAGATCTAGTAAGGCGCAAGCTTTTAACCAGCGGGAGCTCCTGATCTCTTGGGAGGAGGCTGTCAGCAAGGAGCCGGAGTGATGCAACCTGCCGGCGAAGTGCTAGGGGGTTCCACCCCACCATCCTCAGAAGTTCTTGCGTGGACAGGTCGCGGTAATGTGGCAGTCCAGGGGAAGCCTGGCGCCGCAAGACTGTGTAGGCGGCACGCCGCTGCACACTCTCGAGGGACGCTTTCAGTGAATTCTGGTAAGGGTCCCAAACTGAAGCACAATACTCGAGTTGTGGGAGCACTAGAGCAGTGTACAGGTCCCGCAATGCACTGGCGCCAGCTCCTCGGGTGACTCGACGCACAAATCCGAGCATCCGGCGGGCTTTTGAGGTCACCTCCCCAATGTGCGGCGAAAAGGTTAATTTTGAATCTACTGTCACACCAAGAAGTCTTGCACGGTTAGTGGCGGGGAGTTCCTCTCCATTCAGCTGGAAGCTGTGCTGTCTGGTGTTATGGCTTCTTGATGTGGTAATGAGAGTTGATGAGCATTTGTTAATGTTCAGGGGGAGCTTGTTTGCCACAGACCAATCATGGACGGTGTTGAGGTCGTCCTGAAGTTGCTGATACTGGGAGGGATTCTGGACTGGGTGCATAATTGTCAAATCATCTGCATACAAAAGGGGCGTGCACTGCAGGGAAGACGTCACATCGTTGATAAAAATGCTGAACAAAGTCGGCCCAAGAACACTTCCCTGAGGAATTCCCGACATGACTTGTTTGGGGCTCGACACTGCGCCCCGGAAAACAACTCTCTGGGAGCGATTTCGCAGAAAGTCAGAAATCCAATTCTCAAGGCAGCCTGTAATGCCCATCTCGGATAGCCTGCGGCGCAGCATGTTGTGATCCACCCTATCAAAAGCTTGCTTAAAGTCAAGCTGCAAGAGTTGACAGGGGATGCGGATGCGGTAACTGGAAAGTAACGACAAAAGTAACGTCGTTACTTTCATCGTTACCTCAGAAAAAGTAATAGAACTACAGTTACAAGTTACATTTTCAAAAAGTAACTCGTTACAGTTACAAGTTACTAAAAAAGTAACGAAATTACAGTAACGCGTTACTACCCAAGACTGCTTCTACGTTTTGATGTTTCTTCTCTACCCCAGTCTCAGGAATTAATTCAACATGGTTTTTTTCTGCTCTTTACTTCATAAGTCTCAGATGGCACAGCTTCCATAAAATTTTTGATTGAGTCCGGAAATCGTTGCCTGCCGGCCAAAACGAACTCGTTCCACGCTGCGAGTGGGCACGCGTAAGCACGCGTGGGCACGCGTGGGCACGAGTGCCGTGAAACGAACTCGCTATTACTGTACATGCTGTGCCGATACCTTGGTGATTCGTTAGTGCACAGGTAATCAGATTTGTTCATTTTTATAATTATGAATAATTTGGAACGAACATTATATCTGTCATACTCTGTTCTTGACTTTGAAGATTTGCGTGCTCACGAAGTTTTGTGGCCGAAAAAGGGTAGCTATATTTATTATAAATCGCTGGATTCTTTCAAGTTTAAGGCAGTTTGATATTGCATAGGGGTCCCATACAATTTTAGCATATTCTATAATGGGTCTTACAAACGTCTTACAATGCTTAAGCTTCTTATTTCCGGGGTGGCAATGGCCAGGTTTCGCCTGAGGCACCAGTGTTTTATTGGCCTTTCATTACCAATATGGGAATTCTAACGGAGGTAGATGTAAATAACAGACCTAGATACTTATGTTCGCTCACTCTTGAAAGCCCGGTACCGTCAATGCTAAAGTTATAGTCTAAAAATTTTTTTTTCTAGGTACTGACATAAGAACTAATTTTTCCAGATTTAACATCATTTGCCAATTATATCACTTTTTTTTGTAATTAGTTTAATTTGTCCTGGTCATCTCTACTTTCTATCTTGTTATACATTACAGTCATCTGCAAGAAGTTGTGATCATTTATAAAAATTATAAACAAGAGGGGACCTAAACTACCCTGGGGAACACCTGTTTCCGGGAAGAAAGATAAGATGAAAACCACCTTGTGAAGTTTGAGTTGTTAAAAATGATGTTAATTCGGAGTAATGATTTAGATGCTTTATCAAACAGTTTCGCAAACTCCAGAGATATTATAAACTTTTGACTGCGGCAATTAATCGTCCTAGAGAGGTCATGAACGGTTTGAATCAGTTGAGTGGTTGTCAAGAGTCCTCTGCGGAAGCCATGCCGAGATCTGAACAATCAATCATAATTTTCAAGATAATCCCACATGTTTAGATATGTTCAAGCAGCTTAGAACATGAAGGGCGATAGGTCCCCGTTTCTGAGACATTTCCACGTTGTTGAGCACACCTGTATCAATGCAAGGCTTACTTACAGGCATTCCTTTTTATTACGTATACACAAAGCATTCCACTTGCTTTTTCAAATGGGCTTCAGTACTGGAGTAAACATAGTCGGATACTTCATCAGTCTATAATCGGTACAACCCATGTATCAAATTAAAAACTGGAACAGTTACAGTAGGAACAAGTGTTTTTTTTTTTTTAATAAACATCGTTTACAAGATCTACAAATACAGCATGAAATGGTTGACTCTACTACACTTGCAAGCTTTTCTGGGTTCAAAAGCAAATCCATCAACAGAGGATAACAGGGTGTAAAGATTAATTGGACGAAAGGGGTTGGAGGTACGAGAGAGTGGCTTGCATTACCCACACTGCTGCAGAGAGGTGGAGACCATATGGAGAAAAACAGAAGCAAGTCAGAAACAGGGGAGTGTGTTCAAACGACACATCAGTTTTGCAGTAATTACTTTTTTCAGATCTTTTCAAAGCGGGCACATGCTGAACCCTAAGGCTCCCAGCATCCTCCCACACCTGAGCATAAAGCGAGAAGTGGCTTCGGACCATACGCATTGAGACTTGGCATAGACACTCTATCAAGTCATCTATTTCTGCATCGAGTTTGTCCTTCAGCTTTCCTACATGGCTGCTAGCAAAATTCAAACATAGTAGTCCCTTGCTCTCAGGCTGCGGGGAAGACTAAGAAAGCATACATAGATTCGAAGCCATCACCAGTTTTCCAGGACCAGCCAACAGAGCACCTGGTGTTCCTTGGCACGAGCTGACAAGAAACATGGTCAAGTAGGTTCTTCATTGTGTTAAAGCGAAAGAAACAGTTTATGTTGAATCAAGCTCGCCAGTGAAATGTTTTGAGGATATTGTTACCTGGAGACTTTCCTTGCGAGGGTGAGGTCTCTTCAATAGCGATGGGCTTTCGCATAGGACATAGCACCCTGCACGACTGACATAAAAATTTCTGGTCTGAAGGTGGTTTTGCAAATGTTGGCACACAGGGCACAAGCAAAAACCCACCAACCCTAAAGGGTATCTATCGTCGTAGAAGCTGTTAATGTCCCCCGTTTGCTCTTGGAGCAGATTCTGCTATCTTGTTGTTTATTCCCAAGAAGAGACAAAGCATCTCGGGATCTGCGGAGGCCTTGAGCACATATCTTCTATCCGAAATAAGGGTTACTGCACAGGTGAGCTGATGAACGTATCATAGTGAAAAAAACCTTGAGCTAGTCTCAAGGTTTTTTTCACTATCATCTTTTATCCACATAGGGCACCAGGAACCCGCCCGAGCACCAAACTTATGTTGCTCAGGCAGTTGCCCCATATGTGCTGTGCTTATGTTGCACTGGGGGGCAACAGTGCTCCTCTTCCAGGCGAATGAACAGTTAGGTGAATGCATGTGCACACAATCCAGGTTCCTTCTCTGGGACGAAGATTTGTGCCCACAATGGCCATCAGCGCTCCAAAAAATGGGGTCTTTGTCAGTGGCTCCAGAGCCACCGGTAACATCTCCCATGGCCGATCGGTCTTGGGCTTTAAGGGGAAGTTGTGGCTCTGTCAGCAAGACTTTCTGCTCCAGAGAAGGCTCCACGAAGTCCTCGGAGTCCCCAGACAGCAGCTCTCCAATGCCCCAGCAATCCTCGATGGCCAGGTCAGCCTCTAGAGCCTCCTTTGAACCAAGAGATGTCACTACAAGGCAGTCCCCTTGTCCAGCACTGGGAAGCATGCTCGGGACTCTGCCGGCTTCTTCGGGGTGCGAAGTCAGGATTTTCAGACAGGGCTCCTCTGCAGCCCACTGGGCCCAGTTCAAGAAAAGGTATTCATCATTAAACAACGCTGTAGCACTCTTGTGTCGCTCGAGTAACTTGGCTATTATTTTTGCCAGCACCAAACCAAGGGGGCCCGGGTGCAAGGCATTCGACGGTCGTGGCAGCACCTCCAGTATCTGAAATAAAAAAATAATCCAATCCAGAATTGCATCCTGTTGTCCAAATACTGGTAATAAGGTAAAGTACAAAACAGATCAGGCAGAGCTTATAATACACTACCGACATGTTGCACTACACATGCAAGCAGGCTTAAAAGGGATACTGACACCCCCAATGTTTTTTTTGTTTTTTTGCCAGATGACTTAATATGGTGTCAGGGGACTACCCAACCAGTATTTTGCAGCAGCGCCAAATGTATTTTTAATAAAAACAAAAAACGGAACTGCTCGAAACACGAGCACGGAAGCTCATGGCCGGAACTCGCGTAGCTTCTCCAACATTTTGTTTTTCTTCGCTTCTCCAACGTGTGAACCAGACGATGACGACAAATTTGCGTGCACCGTTTGTCTTGCGATTATTTCACACCTATATCCCTTCCACTCGATGCTCTGCACCCACAAAAGACAGTTCTGAATTAGCGGCTTCATGTGTCACAATGTTGGTTCGTCGTGCGCCGCCATCCCGTCGTCCAGCTTGCGGTACGTTACCATGTGGAGACCGACGTGTACATGTACTTCATGTGATCTGTTCAACATTTTGTTTTTTCAATCAATGTATTTGCAGCTTTTTGGAGGCCACAAAAATGGAGTTCATATTCTTTTCTATTTTTAACATTGAATGTCTAGCTTAGATGACCCAAGACTTTGAATTTATTTGGTACACATAGTTTGAATGCCACGCAACCATGGAAAAGAGTGAGCGTGACTGAACCCGGCCCATTCCATACTGGCTGTTTTCTGGCACAAAAAAAAACAACAAATTTCGAGCTGAAAATTATGTTCTGGGTAGTTGACTCTTATAGGTCATGTTCAAATAAAACCCTTGGCGAGTATAAATACTGTCAGTGTCCCTTTCAATGCATTCATCGAATGCATTGGCACCATTGCTGCCACCTTAAGAAAACTTTGAAATAATCGAGTTGCCAAGATACCATAGGTTGCACAAGTACCATAGTTGCTAAACTTTTATTTTGACTTTGCATCGAATGCACTGATGGCAGCTTTGTGGGGGTATCAGTGAAGATGAGCCAGAAAAAATTACCTCCTTCATTGGCTTCATCCTGCACAAATCACTTGCTCATGAAGATGTTGCTGGCCTTGAGTGCTTGAACCTTATTAATCTTGAGGAGTACAAACGATTAACCCAGCTGAAACTTTTTCTTAGTTCAAAAATTCCAAAAGCCTTTCCGGACATAAAAGCCAATTGTGTGCTGAACATAGACGATGCCGAAATTTCAATATTACAAATGTTTGATCACGTTTGGACTATTTCCCTCACATGCTGACCTAATTTGTTGGTACCATGAGAATGCATACAGGGTAGGAGTAGGAACTACAACCACCTTTTCCAAAACGTGTGAATTTTCCCTCAAGATTTGCATAATGCTGAGTCATAAACTGAGTGGAACAAACAGCCACGAACAATAAGTAACAGAGGTCATGCTATCTGATTCCTTGAGGTCATGGAAAGGCGTATGGCTTCTCAAGTGCTTGGTAGCAATTTTGCATGGTAAGAATGTGGAGGTCAGGACTTGTGTACATGTCAAACAAAGCACATGCATTTTTATAGGTTCCATCAACCTCTGCTGCACCTTTCTAATAAGAATGACAGTACTCATGGAACCCTTTCAGAACTCTCACCCATAATGAGTGCACCACCGAGTTAAAAAAAGGTTTAATTGGAGATGTTTTTTATTCTCCTCTAGGCTTCAGTGAAATGACTGAATAGTAGTAAGCAGCTACAAACCTGGAAGAAAATTTCTGCTGCAACACACAAACAGATAGAGCTCACACCTCACGGCAGTAGCTTAGATGTAGAATCGACAGTCTTGAATTTCTTCAGTAACAGTGATAATTTGATTCTGTAAAAATTTGTCTTCGAAAGTCAGACAGCCAGGCAGCTTACACAAAGATGACTGCTGAAGGTTTCCTCTAAAAATAACCATGTTTTTATGGGATCATTAGACTTGAGTGGAAACTGCACACCTCACCCTTATCAGTGAGACAAGACAATCTTTATTGCCAACAAATGACATGTGACTGGGCTACAGTGAACTGGGCATGGCAAAAACGGGGTTGCACCCACACACTAGTCACAGCATGTAGGATAGGTCATATTTACACAAGAATAATCTCTCATATCCTCAGGTATAATTACATAATATTTAATGCTCTAAATTTCAACTGGGCTCCTGTATCTTAGGAGCCCTAAAAATCAGTCAACAACAAAGAAAAACAAACTCTGAAGACAAACAAACATGGACCTAGAGAAGCAAACTTAGGAATTTGACTAAGGTACACAGAGCACGGCTAAATCCATCTTTCCTTTGGCAGATCTCATTTGCTCCAACATCAGAGCAGTAGGTTAAGCAATGTCCTTGTGACAGTAACGCATTCACTTGCACACTAGGGGTATCTGCACACTCTCACCAAAGGCCAACCATTCGGACTGTACCGGAAACAGGGTCGTAATGAGGTAAACATTACTAAAGGCCACACAATTGCACACCAACAAAACTCAGGAGTCTGGTACACACTCGGGTCAAAAACCACTGTGCTCAGGTTCACGCAAGCTGACTAAAACACTTTGATCGGAACAGCCAGTGCTGCTGCCCGCTTAAGCCCAAGGGGTCCTTCAAGAACGTTTGGCCAGCATGGATTCTGTTCCCTCACAACTGGCACCAGACAATACCTTGAGCATCAGCTTGTCTTCCCCACTCAGTGCCCAGACTGAATGAAAGACATCGTGGATGCTGTCCCCTGAACAAGAAGTGAGAAAAGAGCAATGGCAGCAATCAGTAAGAGCATAGGAAGGCATGCATGAATCAAATTTCAGTAATATGACACTTTCCTGCACATCACACAATGAAGTCATGGTTGAATGCGTGTATTTTCTCACTCAAATGTTAATAGACAAGCTGCTCACTGGCAAAATACATGGGGCCAATACTGAACATGAGTGCCACAATGTAGAGAATGAATTTCCTCATTAGAAGGACTAAGGGACAAGTGACAATGTCTACAACATGGTTGTATACAGCTTATGGGTACACCTGGATCATACTATAATACTGGAGAAAATCAACTTGGTTAAACATACTTTAGAAAGCTATCTTAAAGGGCAACTCCACTCAATTCCAAGAAGCTTGAGATAATTAGGGGTGACCTCACATTGAGAAGTACTCAAAAACAACTTATTTTATGCGGGCTCAATATTTCGCGATTTAGGTTAAAGCTGAAATTTCGGAATAATTCGCAAGTTCTAATTTTCGCGACGCGGTGGGATCTCAATATAGATTCCAATGTGTTTACATTTTTACCATAATTGTTTGTGGGATTTATTTTTCATGAATTGTGGGCGATTCGCGAAAATTAGGTCCTCGCGAAAATTATGTCGTTTACAGTAGAGACCAGGGGTGGCCAGGCTGACCCGGCCTAAGAGCCGAAAACAAAACCATGAAACCTCAAAGAGCCGCGCAAGGGGTGGGGGGGGGGGCAAACTTTTGTTTAGAGCAGTAAACGAAACTCGAACTACTTTCAATCTATCAGAGTCAAAAGCAGTCCAGCTGTACTTAAGGTAAGATTACCAAATCGCAACCTGTATTTCGATTTAAAACGCGTTCCATTTCTCCTTGTGTCGAAGTGCTTGCGTGACCGTGAGGGAGGCGGTGGAGAAGGGGGGGGGGGGGGCGTAGGGGAGGGAGTTGCGAGCCACACTTTAACACGCGAAGAGCTACTTGCGGCTTGCGAGCCACAGCTTGGCCACCCCTGGTATAGACTGTTTCCCAAAAAGTTCATATTGCTCATGTAACCTACTTTCATACATGATCACAAACCGAAACCAAAACTTTGGGTGTGGCAGGCAACATTGGCACCACATAGTCAAAGGCATGAAGCACCCACATACTACAAACAGTCACATGATTTACAATGCAAACGGCACAGCACCAGTGACATCTGCATCACGGCAGGCTCTGCATTCAAAGATGTCTGCACCATGGTGCCTGCACGCACGTCATTCAGAAGCAGAGCCTAAGTTTGTAGGCAAAACACCATCAGGACAGAGGGGACGTACACTATATGTCAGGATTAACAGGATTAACCTACAGCAGACACCTGGCCTGGTGCATTCTCAACACTGTAAAAGCACATTTAAAAATCAGGTATGTGAAGAATGACATCCTGAATACGGTGGGTTTGCGAATTTGGCATGGCGAGATGGCAAAGGGTTTGAGAAGGATAAGTACCCACGCAATACTGATACAAAGAGCAGAAGGACGCATTGTGGTAAAAACCAATAGGCTAGTGACTAGTGAAAAATAGGGATATGTTTTTACAGGAACCGTTTATGTAACAGGAAGGGCGGACCACCCGAATAAAATCAAACCGAACTCCTGTCAAGCTGACGTGTTTGCTTTTTCTTTTTTCCCGAGAACTACTGAAGAGTGGCTGCATAAAGATGTATACTTGACAACTTTTTAAAATAGTGTTTGAATAGTTCTTTGGCTTGTGTTTGATGGCTGGTGCTTTTACTTTTCCAGTTGTTTTTCTACACCTTTCCAAAAAAACACTCGACCCCAGGGGCAACAACCCGTTTTCGAGCCCAGTCACTGAGTTTGAGGCTAGACTCTCACCGGCGTCCCTGCTAACCCTAACCGAGTGGACTGTGATTTCAATAGGCGCAGCCTTCATAGGCACAGTTTCAAATACTGCTGGCGGCTAAATTCTCGTCTTTTCCCGCTATATTTTGTGTTTCATGGTACATGTATTTTCCCGAGGACATTGAGAAAGCATTGTACCACATTTAAAAAAACAAAAAAAAGCAAAAAAATTGTAAACTATTTTTGTTGGGTACGCGCGCTACAGAACGAATGCACTACAATGTTAATTGTCTTCTTTTTTTTTTTTTTTACAGTTAATTTTTACGGCGTTGCCCGATTAACCGCGTGCCAAATGACGAAGCGATTAGCTGTCGAAAATAAATTACAACTGAAGATAGCCGAAAAGCATGTATTTTTCATGCTCACAAATAACGTGTTTACCGATGGACAGGACACGGATATACAATTTAAGAAGTTTTAACATTCAATCAATATATTGTATCTACCACACGATGCAGCATTATCCACAAAGAATTTATTTGAGAAAGATCTCAAATAACACAGTCACAGTCGACGACAGTGACATTTTGACGATTGGACGGAATCCTGACGATTGGACGGAATCCAAGCAGACTTCGTTTTGGGGCATGTTTTGGGGAGAGCTTCCTTTTTTCACAACAGCACAAAGGCAAAGGAACGAAAGCGACTGACCCGTTTCCCACCCCAACCCGGACAACTATTTTTAGAGATGACTGAGGACTCTGCGCAGATTATCGCTGGGAGGGGGGAAAACAATTGTCATTGTTCGCAAAATTGCGTCGAAGGCCGTTCGACGTCCTTCCTCTCCTTTGTTTCCCGTGAATGTTGAGCAGAAAGAGCTTGAATGGCAGGCACTTACCAGCCCTATTTCTCACAGTGGAAGATAACACAAAAAAAGTGCACAGCATGCATAAAAAAAAAAAAGAAAAAAAAATTAAGTGGAAATTTTTAAGAGGGGTTAGAAAACCTTGAATGCAAAATGGCAAAACATAGGTAGAGAATTGCACTGAGCAGGTTTTCACAGTTCAGAGAGTGGCAGAAAATTTCTTGCTGCACGTAGTGTGTTGAGATTGCGACCGAAGCAACTGTGCGGCGGGTGCGAGGGTCGCACCAGCCGCATAGGCATCAGCAACATGGCGGCGGCCTAGGAGCGTTTTTTTGGAAAGGTGTATAGTGCCTCTTATGCATGCCAGTTGTGCCAATAGATTTTTTACTCTTTCTTTAATTGTAGCAATGTTTTTATGGATACTTTTTGTACATTTGTTTTTATAGTAGTTGTGCTCAGTGGATGTTTAAATATATGAGGGAGAGCCAGTTAGTTGCAAAAGGCAATTTTTAAAAAAATGGTGCAGGATATCAAATAGAAAACCCCTTTTATTTCTCGACATATCCTCCCCCAACATTGACACATTTCTCCCAACTCTTTACCAGTGTCCCAACACCTGCTGCATAAAATTCTTTGGGCTGCTGTCCCATCCACGTGCACACCCGCCGCACAGTTGCTTCGGTCGCAATCTCAACACAATACGTGCATTCTCAAAAGTCTTTGAAAGAATCATACACTCGCGTGTTTCCTATTACTTTCGACATAAATTTAATAGTGTTCAACATGGGTTTTTGATCGGCTGTTAGGTGGAAACAAATCTTTGTTCGTTTCTTGATTATTCAGTTCCCATAGTTCTTTTGCAAGGTCAAGTAGATATTGTTTATTTTGACATGACCAAGGCCTTTAATAAAAGAAGTCATGATTTTCCACTACACAAGTTGTCCTCATATGGTTTCTCACAGAATCTTCTAAGTCTATTTCAGACCTACTTGACTGATCATCAAAGTAAAGTTAGGATATCGAACAGCTATTCTGATACCTTCCTACCCACATTTGGAGTACCCCAAAGATCTAACTTAGAGCCCCTCCTATTCGTAAATAACCTTGAAGCGTGCATAAAAATTCACGTCGGTTAATGTTTGCTGACGACATGAAGATTTTCAGAAATATACAATCGTCCTCCGATTGCAGTATCTTACAAAAGGATATTGATCGTGTTTCTGAGTGGTGTTCAGCAAATTTCTTCAAGCGTCATCCAGACAAAACAAAACTACTGACAATGTCACGAAAACACAAGATTTTATTTTATCCTTATGTTCTTTAGTTTGCTAGCATCACACATGTCACCATGATTCGTGACTTCGAGATCTATTTCGACACAGACCTTCTTTTTCTGGTCATGTTATTCAGATTATTGCCTCTTCTGTACGCACGCTTGGTTTACTTTCTTGCCTGTCATGTGACTTTAGGAATTATTTTTGCATTTTATGTCTTTTCCTGCCTTATACAAACAAACTTGAGTTCGGTTGTGTAGCATGGAACTCGCTGATGGCTTTTGATGTGTCATGAATTGAAACTGTACAAAAACATTTTATTCATATTACCCTATATATGATAGGTATTTC